AACCCCAAAGACTTTACTATTCTAGACGCACCCATCCTGATGTAGCCTTAGAAGAGAGACCCAATGTTAATGCAAAACAACTATAATGCCAATAATATCTATGAATGGAACATAGATGGTTGTTCTGAATATAATATTCTAGCCGAATTACAACAAATGACTATGGTAGCCACTGCATACCGAACTTCTCATAACTGTTCTGACCAGCTTACTACCCATGTCTTAGTAGCAGGTTTCACAGGTCAACTTAAAGGATAGGTGGGATACCCATCTTAGCGAAGAAGATAAGAACCAAATTCACTTAAGTTTCCGAGTTGATTCCATGGGAGAACCAATCCTTAAGGATGGCCTTACCATTCCTGATTCAACCAACACCCTGATTTATACCATTATCAAAACATTCATAGGTAGTCCAGGTATCTTTAGGGAAAGATCTTCTGAAATACTTAACAACCTTAAGTGTAAAACCCTTTCTGATTTCAGATGGTATAAGGATTCCTTTCTTACCCGAATCTAAGAAAAACCTGACGGAAATCTCCCATATTGGAAAGAAAAATTCCTAGACGGTCTACCTAAGACTCTTAAGGATTTAGTTAAAGAAGAACTCCAAAATCAACATTCTGGTGATATTATTCCTTACGAGCAAATCACCTATGGCCAACTCACCAGTCTCATTCAACATGTCGCTCTTAAAATCTGTCGACATGATAAGATATTGAGGCAATTAGCCAAAGATAGAGCACAGACTCACCGAGATCTAGGTAGTTTCTGTGAACAATTTGGTTTACCACCTTGTAGCAAAAAGCCTCACAAGAGACGAACAACCAAGGATATGGAGATTACAAAATATAGGTCTTCTGCATCCAAGTTCAGGAAGACCAAACCATTTTCTTCTAAATCCAAAACCTTTCCCAGTAAAAATAAACCAACAAACTTCCAAACTCCCAATTCTGGCAAATGTTTCAAATGCAACAAACCGGGCCATATAGCCAAATACTGCAGGTTGTCTAACAAAGTTAGAAATCTCGAATTAGATGAGTCTGTCCTTAACCAGATCGAACAACTTTTATTAGAAGACAGCGACACTTCTGATGTTGCTGATGATGAACTTGAACAGCAATTTAACCAACTCGAAGATGATGACACAAACTCATCTTTATCCCAGTCTAGTCAAGAGGAACCTGCAATTAATGTTCTCTCCAAAGAACAAGATCTTCTTCTTGAAATAATAAGCAATCTCCAAGATTCTGAGCAAAAGAAGTATTATCTCGAGCAATTCAAACGAACAA